ATTGATTCAGTGACTGGGGTAATCGGGATGGGAGTGTCAGAGACAATGCAATTGGTACAGGACAGAGAAGAGTTTAGGGCTGTTGTACATAGGGTCACTATTAGTCACAAGCGACTTGACGGCACATAACAACAACAACAACATGTATATATAAAAAATTATATATTATATCACTTTAAGTCGCAGGCAACATGACAGCACATAACAACAACAACAGCAACATATATATGTGAGTTTTGGTGACTCAGTGATAGAGAATTGTTCTTACAACCAAAAGAGAGATGGTTTGAATTCACAGATCTCCTCTGGAGAAAGATGGACAATCTCTTCCTGTGTGGTTACAGCCTCTCAAAAAACAGCTAGATAGTCAACTATGAGTTGGTTGCAAATGACCGGCAATGAGGATTGTATAGATAAATCTTATGTCAAAGAATGCCCTATTACACCTGTAAGGTATGGAACAAGAAGTTAATTGGCTATACCTGGGGACAAAAATCATAGATCAGAGTGACAGCACAGTTGAGTTTAAGGGGGAAATTTTTTTTTAAATCTTTGACAAGACCATTGATTAAAAGGGGCTTCCCAGGATAGGTTTTGTTTTTAAGAAATTTATTGTTGATTAGACTATTAGGTGGATATTGGAGGACATCGTACTTGGGGAGATTATTACAGAACAAAGGAAAGAAAGGAAGAAGACGATGAAAATGAGTGGTATAAAAGAAATGAAGTGGAGAAATGTATATCAGTCTTACAATTGTGAGAGTTCCTTCAGATCCTTAAATATATGAGGTGGAAGATCTTGAATCTCATTTTCTCCTAAATCCCTAGAGAAATAATTGCAAACATATGTTATTTTTTAGATATATTAACTAATTTTTCTGAAATTTATGAGTAAGTCATTACACAATTTTGTAATAATGCCGTTTGTGAGTTCTATTCTTTGTAGCTTCCCTTCTCTTTCTCCTTTTCTTCCTTCTCTCATTTTACGTTTTAGGGTCTTACAGTTTTCTTTCACTTGGGTTTATAATATTTTTAAACAATGAGTTATGTACAAGTTTCTTAGAGTTGATATGTACAGAATCTCATATACTTGTAGGGGCAGTATACTTCCTATGTACACAGAGGTTGAGCTGGATTTTGTGGTGAGACCTTGTAATTTAGTTGTAAAGAGTTTGTTTGTTTTCTAAAATTGTGACCTGAGTCAAGATTTACAAAGCAACAATTCATATACATTTTGTACTAGAATATTAATTTCAATACCCACAATATAATCACACTTTCCTCACTTCCTCAATATAATTCTGATGAGAATTTGATAAAGAATAGTATCCCTGGGAGTAATATTAATCACTTTGTGAAAAAAAAATCATTATTATTCTAAGCGGTGTAAAGCTTCAATAGGCTTGACCCTATGCACCTCTGAACTCTCTAAGGTGATCATTAAATACTAAATATAAACAGACCTACTTTAAATAAAGTGGGATGCTCTTCTCCAACACTATAACTCAAAACAGATATATTGCTGTTGTTTTCCTTTGAGTGGGGATCAACTCATAGCTGATCCTTCCATGGTTTTTCCTGAAGCTCTGTCTCACAGGAGCAGATCACCCATCTTTTTCCAGCAGAGGAGTTGATGAATTTAAACCACATGCCTTTAGGTTAACAATGAAATTCCTTACCACTACCTCTGGAATCCTGATAGAGGTTTAGGTATGAGTTGGTCCTGACTCGATGATACACAACAACAATAGCAACATACATGCTTTGAGTTGTGATGTTGGAGAAGAGTACGGAATATCCAAGTCTGTGTTGGAAAAAAGTAGCCAGGGTACTTTTTGGAAGCAAGGATGACAAAGCTCCCTCTCATCTATTTTGGGAATGTTGTTAGGTGCCATTGAGTTGAGTATGATTCATAGTGACCTCATGAACAACAGATCTAAAATCTATCCTATACTGTGCCATCCTCACAATCTCTGACTTGTTGTTGTTGTTATGTGCCGTCGAGTCACTTGCGAGTCATAGCGACCCTATGTACAACAGCCCTAAACTCCGCTCTATCCTGTGCCAATCTCACTGCCTCTGACACATCCATCCCGATTCCCCAGTCACTGAATCAATCCACCTCATAGAGGGTTTAACCCTCTCTAGGATGAATCTGTTTTCTTGGCAGTCTATGGTACATTCAGTACTCTTCTCCAGCACCACAGCTCAAAGGCATCAATTCTCCTTCTATCCTCCCTAGTCATTGTCCAACTCTCTGATGCATAACAAGTGATTGCAAAAACCATGGCCTATATCAGGCGCACCTTAGTCTCCAGAGAGACACCGTTGCTCTTGAGTACTTTAGAGAGGTCCCTAACCACAGACTTTCCCATTGCAATACGTTTTATTATTTCCTGGCTACTGGTGCCAAGAGTGTTGGCCGTGGAGCCGAGCAAACTGAAGCTGTGAACCTCAATCTCTTCACCATCCATCCTGATGCTACCGATTGGTCCAGTGGTGAGAATTTTTGTCTTCTGGACATTGAGCCTCAGTCCATATTGAAGGCTGCAGTCCTTGACACTCTGCAGTAAGTGCATGAGGTCCTCCTCAGTTTCAGTGAGCAGGGTTGTGTCATCTGCATAACGCAGATTGTTGATAGATCGTCCACCAATCCTAACGCCACGCTTCTTCTCATAAAGCCCAGCCTCTCGGATAATCTGCTCTGCATACAGGTTGAAAAGGTATGGAGACAGGACACATCCCTGGCGTACACCCTTCCCAATTTTGAACCATGCAGTGTTGCCCTGTTCTGTTCTGACTATTGCCTCTTGGTCCCAGTATAGGTTTCGCATTAGCACGATTCAATGTTCTGGGTTTTCCATTCTTCTCAGAGTCAGTCACAGTTTGTTATGATCCACGCAGTCAAATGCCTTTGCATAATCAATGAAACACAGATAGACATTCTTCTGGTATTCTCTGCTTTCAGCCAAGATCCATCTAACATCAGCAACAATATCCCTAGTACCACGACCCCTTCTAAACCCAGCCTGGACTTCTGGCAGTTCTCTGCTGTTCAGTAGAATCTTGCTTATGTGAAATCAGTGAGATTGTTCTGTAGTTTCCACACTCAGTTGGTTTGCCCTTCTTTACTGCAGTCACTCTGTCAATCCATCTGGTTGAGGGTTTTCTTCTCTTTCACCAACCCTCCCTCTTTCCAAGCATTATATCCCTCTCCAAGGAATAGACTCTCCTTGCAAAATGCTCCAAATATGCTAAAAATAACAAAATAAGCTTTGTTATTTTTGGCCCTAAAGAGCACTCTGGCTACACTTTCTCCAAGACATAGCTGTTTGGTTTTTTTTTTTATTTTGCAGTCTATGGGATATTTAGCACTCTACCCCAATACCACAATTTAAAGGTATTAAGTCTTCTTCTGTCATCCTTATTCATTTTCTAGCTTAGATCCATAACAAAGATTGAAAATATAATTACCTGAACTGACAACATTACGCCTTAATAATTAGGAGACGTCTCTGAAAACATGCTTTCCCAGTGCAATACATCTCCTGACATCCTGACTTTGGTACCAAGGTACTGTAGATCTAAGTAAGATTAAGTAATTGATAGTGTCGATCTTTTCTCCACCATTCATAGTGTTGCCTATTGGTCCAGTGCTGAGAATTTTGGTTTTGTTTACAGTGAGCTTCAATCCACATAGAAGGGTTATATTCTTTGATATTTTGCAACAAGCCTTTCAAGTCCTTCTAAGTTTCAGCAGGTAAGGTTATGTAATCTGCATAATGAAAGTTATTGATGAACCATCCTCTGATCCTGATGCCACATTTTTCTTAACAGAGCCCAGCTTCTCAAATAATTTGCTTAGCAAAGAGATTGAATGAGTGTGGAGAAAGCGTACAACACTGACACATACCTTTCTTGGGTTAAACCATGTAGTATTTCCTTGCTTTGTTCTCACAACAGCCTCTGGGTCTAGGTATAGGTTTTGCACGAGCACAATTAAGTGTTCTGGAATTTTTGTTATTCTCATAATTTAGCCATAATTTGATATGATTCACAAAGTTCCAAAGCCTCTGAGTTAATAAAACACTAATAGATATTCTTCTGGTATTCTTTGCATTCAGCCAGAATCCATCAGACACAGGAATGATATCCTTGGTACTATAGCCTCACATAAAGCCAACTTAAACACTTGGCAGTTCTCTGTTTATATACTTTTCCAACCATTTTGGATGATATTCAGCAGTATTTTGCTTGTATATGATAAGAATAACATTAATAATATCTACATTCTCTTGTATCACCTTTAATGGAAATGGGAACAAATATAGACAACTTTTGTTCAGTGAGCCTCCAAATTTCCTGGCATAAAGTGATGAGCATGTTCAGGGCTGCATCTATTTATTGAAACATGTCAGTTGATATTTCATGAATTCCTGGGGCCTTATTTTTTGTCAATGCCTTCGGCATAGCTTGAACTCTTCCCTCATTACCACTGGCTCTTGATTATATGGTACTTTCTATATGGTATTTCAGTGTTGGCTAATTCTTTTTGGTACAGTGATTATATGTAATCCTTCCATCTTCTTTTGATGCTCTTGGGTCATTAAAATTTTGCCCATAGCATCTCACAGTATTGCAGCTCAAAGATTGAATTTGTTTTTTAGTTCTTTCCCTTGGAAATGCTAAGAAAGTTCTCCCCTTTTCCCAATTCCAGCTCTCTGCATATGCTCTTAAAACATTATTGTCTTCTTGTGCTGCCCCTTGAAATCTTCTATTTAGCTCTTTAACTTCAGTATCTCATCCCTTTGTTTTGGCTTCTTGAGACTCTATTGCATCTTTCAAGGTCTTTTCTGACATCCATTTTGATTTTTTCTTTCTCTTCATGTGGATGGTCAGTGTAAGAGAGGAAGATCCTTGACAAGAAGGATTGACACGGTAACTATTACAGTCATCTCAACTATATTGGAGATTGTGAGGATGGCACAAAACAAAACAAGGTTGTTCTGTTGTTCATAGGGTTGCTAAGAATTGACTTCATGACACATAACAATAACATACATGTTAAATTTTCCTACTTTTAGCTGAACTTTAATTTTGTTACTTAGATATTTATTGATGAACTATTGAGGAAGAGAGACTGTTTTCATTTGGTCATCAGAAGAATTGTTGTAGAGCTTCAATATTTTAAAAAAGTCTTTACCATTGTCTGGGAGATAAAATCAAAGCTTCTTAGTAAAACATAAAAAGCCTTCAAATTCAAACCCAAACAAAACCCACTGCTGACTAGCCCATTCAAATTCATGAGGACTTTCTATTTGGTTTCTGAAGCCCCCTGGCAAATAGGTGAGGCATTCTCCTCCTGTTAAGATTTTCAGCCATGGAAACTTGACAGAGGGTTGTCATCAGTCCGAATCAACTCCATGGCATTAAATTTTCTTTTTTTGCTGGACCATATATAATGTACGTTACTTTTGTTGTTGTTGATTGTCATTGAATGGAGTACAACTTATAACAACTCTGTGAACAAAAGACCTAATGCCTTCCGTAGCTATCGTCATTTCTCCAAGTTCATAGGGTTTCCATAGGCATGTGGTTTAGGAAGTGGATGCCATTCCTACTTCCAGACCTGTTTTACAATTGGAAGCTCCACCAAACACTGTCCACATTGAGTAACCATTATGGTATTTGAAACCCCAATGGCACAAGGTTCAGCATCACAGGAAACCCAGATTATCTCAGTACAGCAAATTGATGAAGAGTGATGTACAGAGTAGAAGAATGTTCCTCCAAATATAACACTAATCTCATTTAGCACTGGTTAAGTTGGTTTCTCACATCTTGACGGGGGTCACGTAAGGAAAGTTTTGGATTGTGTTTGATTCGTGATAATTGTTTTTTTCCCTCCACAAGCAGGTGTCAGCTGGACTTTGGCCTCTTTTGGCCAAAAAGGACCCAAGGGTGGAGGCCTGCCAAAGGGTGTGTCTTTATAATATATAGTGTAGGAAATAATGGTTTTCCCCCCAATTCCTTCAACTTAAGAAATACTGAGTGAGTTCCATCCTTTTGATTTTCTGATTCCTCCTCTTTGCACATTTCATTGTAATATTTTGCTTTGTCTTCCTGAGCTGCCCTTTGAAATCTTTTCTTTAGTTCCTTAATTTCTTGACTTCTTCCATTTACTTTGGCTTCTTGGTGCTCCAGTTCAATATTCAGAGTATCTTCTGACATCCATCTTGGTCTTTTCTTCCTCCTCTGCCTTTGTAATGACCTTTTGCATTCTCATGGATGATATTCTTGATATCTTCTCACAGTTCATTTGGTTTTCACTCATTGGTGTTCAAGGCCTCAAACCTGTTCCTGAGATGGTTTTGAAATTCAAGTGGGATAGACTTATGCTCAAATTTTGGTTCCTGTGGATTTGATTTAATACTCTTCAACTTCAGCTTGAACTTGCATATGAGTACTTGATGGTCTGTTCCACAATCAGTACCTGGCCTAATTTTCACAGCTGATATTGAGCTTCTCCAGCAATTGTTTCCACAGGTGTAATAGATTTGATTCCTATGCTTACCATCAGGTGAAATCCATGTGTATAGCCGGCGTTTGTGTTTCTTACAAAAGTGTTGGCTGTCAGGGACCTTTCCTGAGTACTAAAGAGCAACACTGTCAGTCTGGAGACTAAGGTGTGCCTGATCCAGGCCATACTCTTCACAATTGCTTGCTATGCATCAGTGAGCTGGACAATGACAAGGGATGATAGAAAGAGAATTGATGCCTTAGGGCTGTGGTTCTAGAGAAGAGTTTTGAATATACCATTGACTGCCAGTAGAACAAAGAGGTTCATCCTGGAGAGGGTGAAGTTAGCCTTCTCCTTGGAGGCAAGGATTCTGAGGCTTAATCCAACATATTTTGGGCATGTTGTAAGGAAGGACCAATCCTTGGAAAGGGACATCATGCTTGCAACGGTGGACAGACAGAGAAAGAAAGGGAGACCATTTATGAGATGGATTGATACAGTGACTGAGGAATGAGGGTAGGTGTGTCAGAGATAATAAAGTTAGCACAGGATAGAGCAGGTTTCAGGGCTATTGTTCATAGCGTCGCTATGAGTCACAAGCGACTCAACGGCACATAACAATGACATGAAACATTACACTGAAATTACTTTTGTACATATGCAACTAGTTTAGTTGTGGAATAGCTAATCTTTCCATTTCTAATCAGGAGAGTTAAATTGAATCAATATACTCTTTAGGTAAAAGTAGGATTCAATTATATTTCCTTGTATGAGAAATCATATAAATTGTGTTAGTAAGGAGATTTGGAAAAAACCTAGATTTAGAATAGTCCACTACAATATTACAATTGCAAGTATTATATCTCATTTCCTGGTGGGGTTGCTAGGTTTCAGCCAGCAGCACAGAGTCTAGCATATAGTTCTTACAACATGAATCACGCAAGAGCATATTGTTAGTGTAGCTCTTATATGACATCTGAAAAGATAATTACCTCACCTTTAGCTTAAATATAAACTTAGATTTGAGGTCCATTTAGTAACAGGCTCAAGAAACACATTATGAACTTATTAGAAGCTATAAAGCTATTTTACACTAATAGTGATCCCATGTGGCAGCAATGATGTTCCATATAGTTTTCTTGACTGTAATCTTTACAGAAGCCAATTGCTACGTCTTCTAGGAGCTGTTGGGTGCATTCCAACAGCCAGCGTTGCAGTTAGTAACCAGGAGCCCAATTATTTGTACCCCTAGGGCTCCTCATTATCAACTAGTGAAACCTATTTTGAAAACACAAATTAAATTAAACACATAGCAAAGATTTTTTTCCCTCTACCAGAACTAGTTAATATCCTTCGGATTCTGATGGTTGACAATTTATTTACTTTCATTAATTCTACTGGTGAGATTGAACTCTTTCTCAAAAGATATTTGTCTTCTTTTTCTAGATTTATCTGTAAAAAAGTACCACCTCTTTGAAAGCAAGACATTTGCATTCTTGTATATAAATGTATAATAAGGGATGAAACAAGTCTAACAACAGCAACAATAACAACAATTATTGGTCTAGAGGGACTGACCTTTGGTGGCCTAGCGCATAGGAAGGGAGTTACATTGCTAATGCAAATGCAGGTAGTTTGAATTTACCAGTAGTTCTGCAGAAGAAAGATAGGCAATCTCCTCCTACATGGCTGATTCACAGCTTCTGAAAACCTGATGAAGCGATGAGTTGGATCCAACTTAACAGGAATGAGTGTGAGTTTTTGAGCAATTTTTAAACTCACTCAGATTTTTGTTGATATTTTCCTTTACTGCTGAGCTTTTATTAGCACTGGCAATTGTTAAAGTATTTGTGTTTTATGTATTGATATATCACACTTGCATCTTTCTGTCATTATTATTATAGGGAAAGATACTACTCATGACAGTTTCTTATTCCTACAGGACCCAGGGCAAAGATTCTTAGGTTTCAGAATCAGTAAAGTGGTGTCTTACTTTCTTACCATCTCTGAATAAGCCTCTAAGAAAAAACAGAACCAAAATCACTGCCATTTGATTGACTTCAACTTGTAGAGACCCTATAGGACAGAATCTGAAAGTTGGTTTTCCAAGGCCATACATTTTCCTGGAAACCAATACTCCATCTCTTTCCTCCAGAGGAGAAGGTGAATGTGAAGTGTTAACATTTTGGTTAGCAGCTGAATACCTTAACAACAATATTACCAGAACTCTTAGTGCTAGTTTACATCTAGCACTGGGGCAGAGTGGAGTAGGATGTGATTTTTGTATTCTTTTTACCCCATTTCCCCTCAAATAATTATTTTACATAATTCATTTATGGTTTTTTTTTAAGATATGTGAATTCTTTAATTAGTTGTAACTCCATTATTCCAGTGACTACATAAATCCTGCTTAGATAAAGGAGATGGTATTCCTTAAATGTATGAAAAATTATATGAAAAGCAAATATGAAATAAAATGAAAACATATTAATGACATATTTTTAATCAAACTTACAATTCATCTAGTTTCTGCAGAGATGCAAAGGTATTTTCATCTATGCGATTAATTTTATTTCTCCTCATTATCCTGAAAGGTAAAAAAAAGGACATTGTGACTTTTTGAGAGAATTGACATGCAAGTTGTTAGGGAAAAGATTAGTAGTGTGAAAAACCAAAGATAATTATATACAGTGCACTTTCCACATCAATATATTTTGAAGTAGTGTGCTAAATGCTTCAATTAATTTTAACCTTAAATTTCCCAAATCTATTAATGTTGATAAAAAGAAAATACAATTTAATAGCTAAATTACAGTGGAAAGCTTTGCTACAGATAAAAGAGGAAATCTCAAGTCTTGCAAATATAGACTGAAAATCATGCAAAGGGTTAGGAACTTTTCTAGAGTTTTGTTTTGTTTTTTCCCTATAGCACATGTCTATTGTACACAGGGGTTTCAAAGGCCTTTTATTTGGAAGTGGTTGACCAGTCCTTCTTCCTGGTCTATCTTAATTCGAATGCTCAGATTTAGAACAATAACTGACAGACAAGCATTTTGAAAAGAGCAGATGAAAAATATTTCCCAATTATAGAAGCAACAAATAGATTCAGTGTTGCTCTCATCCCATGACACAGGTGTCTCGATTCATCCCTTTCCCAGCCCCACCAGCATCCCATTCGACTTCCACCTACCCCATTCAACATCTCTCTCCCCCTATTCAGCTCTTGATATGTTTGATGGCTTAGGTCTCAAGCCTTCTGGGCTTCTGTGATGCAAATGCCTCATGCTGCTGCTGGTCTCTTATGCTGTGGCCAGTTCTCTTGAGTTCAGGCATCTCTAAGTCCAAATTCCAGGTACTAATATTATTGTTTGTTGTTGTCGTTAGTGCCATCGAGTCGTTTGTGACTCATAGCGATCCTATGTACAAGAGCTCTAACCGCCGTTCTACCCTGTGCCAACCTAGCCATTTCAAACACATTCATTCCCACCACTCCAGTCACAGAATCGATCCATCTCATCCAAGGTCTTCCTCTCCTTCGCTGCCCTTCCACTCTGCCAAACATTATGTTCCTCTCCAAGGAGCAGTCCCTCCTTGCAATATGCACAAAGTATGTCAGATGAAGCTTCAGAATCCTCACCTCCAAGGAGCATTGCGGCTTCACCCTCTCCAGGCCAAACCTGTTTGTTCTCCTAGCAGTCGATGGTATATTCAACACCCTTCTCCAGCACCACAGCTCAAAGGCATCAATTCTCTTTCCATCATCCCTATTCACTGTCCAACTCTCTGATGCATAGCACGTAATTGCAAAGACTATAGCCCAGATCAGGCACACCTTAGTCTCCAGCCTGACGTCTTGCTCTTCCATACTCTTGAGAGGTCCCTGACAGCTGACTTTCCCAATGCAATTCTTCTCTTGATTTGCTGGCTGCTGTTACCAAGAGTGTTGAGTGTGGAGCCAAGTAAACGAAAACTGTTATCTCAATCTCTTCACCATCCATACTGATGCTACCAATTGGACCAGTGGTGAGAACCTTTGTTTTCTTGATGTTGAGCTTCAATCCAGATAGGAGGCTGCAGTCCTTGACCTTCTGCAGCAAGCGCTTCAGGTCCTCCTCAGTTTCAGCAAGGAGGGTTGTGTCATCTGCATAACACAGGTTGTTGATGACTC